GGAGGGGGGGAAGAGGAGGAGGACGACGAGGAGGAACATGACGACAATGGGAGGACGATGATGGAAGGACGAGGGGGGGAGAGGGAGGACGAGGAAGAAGCGGAGGAGGAGGGAGGAGGACGAGGAGGACGGGTGAGGAGGCGACGAATGACGATGAGAATGAGGACGAGGACGAGGAAGAGGAGGAGGAGTAGGAGGCGGAGGAGGAGGAGGAAGAGGAGGAGGAGGAGGAGGAGGAGGAGGAGAACGCCATCGACAAGGAAGGTGGGGGCCACGAGGTCCGCCGGCTTGACGACGCCCGCGTCGCCCGCGCCCGCCCCCTCACTCTTATCCGCAATTGCGGGGTGCTATATATTTATTTGTATGTCCTGGGGCCCCTTCATCATCGTTGTCGGCATCTCGGGGCCCTTGCCGGGCCCGGGCCCCCCTGGACCTTCCAAGAGCGACTCCCGATGAAAGACTGGCCATGGGGAAAGGGTCGGGATTTCTTGGGGCCCCCTTTCGAGAACTCGGGCTCACGAAGGTGAAGCGATGTTAGACTCTCACCTCCCCCTCCTCGCTCAAGGTCGCGCGCGAGCGTGCGCCACGCAGCATGTATGCCGCCATTTGGGTGTCGAGGGTGGGGCCGCTTGTCCCGCCCTCCCGCTCCCTTGGCGCTGGTAAGTAGTTGGGGCTGGGAGCGGCCTACGAGAGTGTTCGCGTGGCCAGTGCATCAAGAGCAGGAGGATTTAGGAGGTGGAGCTGACGCCCAGCCATCCGACGTCTGGTTCCTTGGGCCTCTCCACGGCTGTTCCTCCAGCACTCCTTGGGCCTCTCCACGGCTGTTCCTCCAGCACTCCTCGTGCACCTGGTCCGCCCTGGCCGCCTCGGTATGGTCGTCCTCGCCGAGCAGACCGCCCACGGAGTACGCCACCTTGGACGCCCCCCCCCCGCTCCTCCTCCTCCTCCTCCTCCTCCTCCATCCTCCTCCTCCTCCTCCTCCTCCTCCTCCTCCTCCTCCTCCTCCTCCTCCTCCTCCTCCTCCTCCAGCACTCCTCGTGCCCCAGAGGGGCCTCCTCGGGCGCGCCTTGTGGCAGGATCTCGACCGTGCACGCCACCCTCAGGCCCGGGGCGGGCCTGGCCGGGGGCCTTTTGCAGCTCTTCGGCGGGCGCCCCCTCGGGCTCCGGCCTGCTTAGGGAAACGAAGAAGGACACAAGCATACAGGCGGGGCCCTGAAGCAGGAACCCTTTTGGTTGGGGAGGGGCTCCGCGTTCCTTAAGTGTTTCACAGCTTGCCTCAGGTTTTCCGTATGTTTTCGATTGGGAATCGAAGTTTAATTCTTCACGCTTCGCGTATCCCCACCAGCCCATCTCAAAACAGCAACTCTTGCGAAGCATGCCGACAGTCGTGTTTTTCAGGCGTGTGTCCGCTTGCCCCCGCATATCTCCCCTGTTCCTCCTTCCTCCCGCCTCCTTGTACATCCTCCTTGTGGTGGGAGCGGGAGAAGGACGAGGCGGAGGAGGAGGGAGAGAAAGCGGTGGGAGGCAAGAGGGATTTAGCGGAGACGACGACCACAGCGATGATCCTAACAACGACGACGCACCCGACGACGACGACGATATCGACCGCAACGACGACGACGACCACAACCGCGACGACGACGACGACGACGACGACGACGACGTCGACGACGACGACGACGAAGGCGGCGGCGACGACGACGACGACGACGACGACGACGACGACGACGACGACGACTGGTGGGAGTCGTTGGGGCCCCTCGTGGTGTGAGTCGTTCGGCCCCATCGTCCTTGTGTGAGTCCTTCGGGCCCCTCTTCCTGGTGTGAGTCGTTCGGGCTCCTCGTGGTGTGAGTCGTTCGGGCCCCTCGTCCTGGTGTGAGCCGTTCGGGCTTCTCGTGGTTCGAGTCGTTCGGGCCTCTCGTCCTGGTGTGAGTCGTTCGGGCCCTTCTTCCTGGTGTGAGTCGTTCGGGCTCTTCGTGGTGTGAGTCGTTCGGGCTCTTCGTCCTGGTGTGAGTCGTTCGGGCTTCTCGTGGTGTGAGTTGTTCGGGCCCCTCGTCCTGGTGTGAGTCGTTCGGGCCCCTCCTCCTGGTGTGAGTCGTTCGGGCTCCTCGTGGTGTGAGTCGTTCGGGGCCCTCGTCCTGGTGTGAGTCGTTCGGGCTCCTCGTGGTGTGAGTCGTTCGGGCGCCTCGTCCTGGTGTGAGTCGTTAGGGCCCCTCCTCTTGGTGTGAGTCGTTCGGGCTCTTCGTGGTGTGAGTCGTTCGGGCCCCTCGTCCTGGTGTGAGTCGTTCGGGCTCCTCGTGGTGTGAGGCGTTCGGGCACCTCGTCCTGGTGCGAGTCGTTCGGGCCCCTCGTAGTAGGAGTAGTAGTAGTAGTAGTAGTAGTAGTGGTAGTAAAAAAAAAAAAAAAAAAGTATAGTATAGATGTAGTAGTAGTAGTATAGAACTAGAACTAGAACGAGAACTAGCACGAGCCAGCTAGAACTGAACTACTAGTTAGTATTAGTAGTAGTAGTAGTGGAGTAGTAGTAGTTGTAGCAGTAGTTGTATTATAGTAGTAGTAGTAGTAGTATTAGTAGTAGTAGTTGTAGTAGTAGTAAGTAGTAGTAGTCGCAGCAATCGTAGTAGAAGTAATGGTAGTGGTCGGAGTAGTAGTCGTAGTAGTAGTAGTAGTAATAGGAGTAGCCTAAGTAGTAGTAGTAGTAGTAGTAGTAGTATTATGTAGAGTCGTCAAGTCGTCGTAGTAGTAGTAGTAGTAGTAGTAGATTCCGTAGTCGTCGTCGTCGTCGTCGTCGTCGTCGTCGTCGTCGTCGTCGTCGTGTCGTTCGACGTCGTCGGGTCGTAGTATAATAGTAGTAGTAGTAGTAGTAGTAGTAGTAGTAGTAGTAGTAGTAGTAGTAGTAGTAGTAGTAGTAGTAGTAGTAGTAGTAGTAGTAGTAGTAGTAGTAGTAGTAGTAGATGTCTTTTGGGAGCCTCTTGGAGGCCTTTTGGGGCGTCTTGGGGGCCTCTTGGCGGCCCCAGGGGCTTCTAGGAGCGTCTTTGGTGCCTTGGGGGAGCCTCTTCGGGCCTCTTGGGAGCCTCTTGGAGGCCGTTTGGGGCGTCTTGGGGGCCTCTTGGCGGCTCCAGGGGCTTCCAGGAGCGTCTTGGGTGCCTCGGGGGAGCCTGTTGGGGCCTCTTGGGGGCCTCTTGGGGGCATCTTGGGGGCCTCTTGGAGGCCTCTTGGGGCCTCTTGGGGCTCTTTGGGAGGGGTCTGGGAGGTATCTGGGGGCCATCTTTCGGGCGATCAATCACAGCTGGGGCGAGCACTTTTCTGCCTCCCCCCGTCGGGGCCAGACTCCTCGTGAGAGGTGTCGAATTTTAGCCCTCCCAGGGATAGAAAGCGGACCCGCGAAACCCCCTCTCCAGGTCCAGGGGGAGGGGGTAGGGGGAGGGGTGAACCCCTCCCCGAAGGGGAAGGAGGGGGGTTGAGAACAGAGAGAGCTCGCTAAACCACTCACGCCCAAAGGGCTGATGGGATTAGTAGTGCTAGTAGTAGTAGTAGTAGTAGTAGTAGTAGTAGTAGTAGTAGTAGTAGTAGTAGTAGTAGTAGTAGTAGTAGTAGTAGTAGTAGAAGTAGTAGTAGTAATAGTAGTAGCAGTCGTGATCGTAGTAGGAGTAATAGTAATAGAAATAGTAGTAATAGTAGTAGTAGTCGTCGTACTTGTAGTA